GTCAGGTGGTCTCTGAGTTTGAGCTCAGCCTGGTCTACACAGCAAGTTTCAGGCTAGCCATGTTTACATAGAGAGACCCAGTCTCAAAACAATAATAAAATGAAACCGTGTGTGTGTGTGTGTGTGTGTGTGTGTGTGTGTGTGTGTGTACATGCATATATATCTGGAAGCAACGAAGCAGACAAGAAGTGATAAAAATGGCCAGAGAATCTGAGCTGAATAAGAAGACAGATAAAAGGGACTGTGGAAAAACGAGACTCAAAAGCAGCAAGAGTGTGTTACACAAGGTAATTTCAAGGTGTTTTGAACATGGCGAGCTAGAAGAAGTAAGGTAAGCTCTGTCATGCTGTAGCTGTGATTTGCTTTCCCAACTAAATTCTCAGTTCTCATTAAGGATGGAGCGAGACAGTCTGCAAAGGCAATTGGATAAACTAGGCTTCCTAGCTGGGGCTAGGGTTTCTTAAATGAAATTGCTTTCCATCAATAAAGCCAAACACTAGGGAAGCAACACAAACCATTGAGAAATCAGGGCACTTCAAACAAACCTCTGAGGTGACTTCTAGTCTTCATTATTAATTTATTTACATATCTTTTCCTATATTTGTTCAGATACTTGTAAGTACACATGGGGGTGTCAGGCCTCACATATTTAACTTACAAAACTGAAACTCCAGGCAAAACTATCACCATTGGAGACCCCACCAAGTTAAAAGTCATCAGCAATTGTTTTAGCATGCTCATAGTTCCTACTTCTGAGAATCTTGTTTAAAAATTGCAAAAGAATAAAATATGCATCTCCACTTCCCTACTTCCACACAAAGAAAATGCACAAGAGATCAAACCACTCTTAGGAGAACATGGAGCCTTTATGGACTTGATCCTTACACAGCCTCTTAAGCATCAATCGGCAGTGTGAGTACCAACCCAGCCCTACCACTCATCAGCTGCAAGGTCATGGACAAGGTACTTCAACTCCTCTGCTTCAATTCCTCCAACTTAAAAATGGAGATAGTAAAGCATGGCTACCTCACAGGGCTATCACCCAAGGAAAAGGTCAGAGTACTTTGTAAGCTATCTTGTACTTGGCTAATAATAGTCATTGTGACCACACTTTGAGAGGGACAAGGAGAGTCTTCCCTTCCAGTTAGAATGGAGAAAAGGAAGAGAAACCAATTTCGGCAAAGACACAAATCTCTGTTGCATGCATTAGTGGAGCTCCGGCTTCATTTGTCCACAAAGTGTAAGTGGAGGGACTTGGCTAAAACCTACACCTGGCAAATGACCCTTATAGACAAGGGAAGAGTTGGAAATCTGGGGACAAAGCAAAGCATTCCCTAGAGATACAAACTAAAACACAACTGGTAGGTGTAATTTTAGGGCCAATCCTTGGCCATCTTATTTTGAATTAATGGAGGGTTTGGAAATAGGTGGGTCATAGCCACTGAGGAGTAGGAAGAACGGCTTTTGAAAACTCATTCTTCAGCTGATGGCTGACAACTAGACATCAAGTGCTCAAAAGGCCTCACAAAAAAATGTGTCAAAGAAAAGGCAGGCTGGAGTGGAGGACATAGCTCAGTTGGTACAGTGCTTGCCTAGTATACGTAAAGACCTCAAAACTGGCCATGGTGGCATGGGCCCGTAATCATAGACCTCGGGAGGTAGAGGTAGGAGGGTTTGAAATCATCCTTGGCTACACAGCCAGCTTGAGGACAATCTGGACAACATGAGATCCAGCCTTAAAAAAAAACCAACAAACTCAAATAATATCACTAACCATAAAGCTTGCCTTTAACTAGGTCTGTGAAGAAACAAAAGATGACTGTCTTCATTTTTCTGTCTGGAAAATGAAGCTGAGATTTAGATTCACTGTGAAAGTAGAGATGTCTGGTCCAACCCTTGTATTTCATAAAGGAGATGAGAATTAGCATGTTGAACTGACCATTTTGCATGTACAGCTCGTGAATAGCAACAAGGGAGCTAAAACTCCACTCATCTCCACATTTATGTTCATTCCACCCTCACCCCCACCCTACCCCGTTTTTTTCTCCCTCAGCATTATCAGAAAAACAAGGGTGTTATTTATAATCACTATCCTATCTCCATTATCCTGCCAGCCCCAGAGGAAGATGCCGAGAGAAAGGACAACCGCCACCCCACAGGTCATGCCCATCATGATGGTTAAAGACATCTTCAAATGGTTTTTAGTAGGTTTTCAAGTTTGAGGGTGGTGAGCAATCCTAGGATGGTGACAACGATCCACTCAGAAGCCCTAAAGAAGGCAAAATGACACAAATAAGCAAACAACCCACCTGAGCGCCTTTGGTGATGGGGAATCAATCCCCAGACCTTAGATTCCTTGAAGCAGGGTCAGAGCGCTGGGTGCAAGACTGTGGGGTCACCATTTGAATTCTTCATAACCTAACAATCACGAAACAATCATTTTCCTTTGGCACCAGGCCTCTCAAGTTATGTGATGTGGCTGGTGCTATTTCCCCCTGTGACAACCACAAAGAGTTGGCCTGCATACAACCGCTGCTTCTAGCCCTGGACAAGCGAGGCTGAAGGAAAGCCCTGAGAATTTGATCCCCTTGGTGACTTCAGGAAGGGAATAACGTTGGGAGAGGTAAGGGGGCTGCAGCCTTGGATCGTTTCCAATCCTGGCAAGTCAGATGCCATCATAAACATGACCCCCAAACACACTCTGCAGTACCTGATTCTTCTTCAGCTTGGGCAGCCGCGTTCTGGTCTCATGTCCAGAGCTAAGAGCCTAGACGCTGCCGCGAGCGGCGGACTTTTTGATGACTTCAGTCCGGTCGCTCTAAGTGGGAAAGGAAGACACAGCCGAGGATAGGTAAGACCCGACCCTTCGGAGGGCCTCGCCGCTGCTGAGGAAGTTTGGAGTCAGGAAGTTAGAGGGAGCCAGGTTTCAGGTGGCCGCGACGCTGGGGCCACGAGGTGGGCTATCTGCTAGAACTCCTGAGCCTAAGGGTCAAAATCTGGCTTTGAACTCCGCGCCTCTGAGGAGGGGCGGGGCTACGGCAGAGGGCAGGGTTTCCTGTGGCGCCTCTGCGTGTGGCTGCACCCTCTGAAAAGGCTTGTAACCAAAGAAGCGAGCACGAGGGTTCCATAGTGTAGCGGTTATCACGTCTGCTTTACACGCAGAAGGTCCTGGGTTCGAGCCCCAGTGGAACCATGGTAGTGGCTTACACCTTTTTCATAAGGAGCCTGCATAAAAGCAAAAACCGGAGACTGTTTTTCTCTTTCTTCTACCTATATTATTCCTAACAGCTTTATATCGCAGCCTCTACCGCCAGATCCGAGAAATAACCCAGAGTGGAGGCGGGGCGGGTTGGAGCCTCGGCTGCTGTTTATCTCACCTCCGAGGTGCTCCGGGGTACTTCAGGAGCGCCCCGCAGCAGCCCTTCCTCCCGAGCCAGAACAAGTTGACCGCCAAAACTTCCCACGAAAATGTGTCAACAAAGCCACTCTTTGATTGCAGCTGACGTTTTTAAAGGTTGATTATGATTAAGTATTTAATATCTTATTCAACTCTTTAATATCTTATTCAGCTCTAAAATACAGAGCAAGAACAATGTAGCTGGAGGGTTAGTGGAATGAATATTCCTCTTTTTAAACAGGAATTCATATACAGTTTAGAATAAGTGTCATGCTTTTAAGTTTATTAATTAAATGTAGTTTTTGACAATTTCATGCATGTATATAATGCACCCTGATTACTCTCACTCCCACCCGTGTGTTAATTGATGATAAAATATTTCTCCAGTTCGTCTTTGCTCCCATTATTACGGTTCTGTTGCAGGGAGAACTTCTTTCGAGGGGGTGAAGGGACGTTTTTATCTTTGACAAAAGTATGAGTGAAAGGTTTCTGGGGTTCTGGGGGTCAAGGGTGAGATGATGGTAGCAGAGAACTAAATGGAGAAAGAGAAACTTTTAGTTTTGTTTTTGTTTTTGTTTTCCCTTGGCTTCTCCTACCCCCCAGTTTTGATTATACAGTATATGAATTTACATCTTTTTCTAACTCAAAAAAAAGTAATGTGATTTTCTGGTTAACAGTCAATTTACTCTTTAAAACCTCAACCATTAAGATGCACATTTAGTTACTGTTAAGTATTGCTGTGGACTGGTTTCCAGAAATTTTTCTTGCAAAACTGAATCTCTACATCCGTTCACCTTGTTCCTCCCATCAACCTTATTTTTAATGGCCATGTAATAATGGTGGCTGAGTAAGCCAGACATTGACCTAAGTACTTGGTTTTGTTTTGTCATGCTGAGAATCAAATGCGTGCCTGTCCCCCATGTTCCTTCCAAACAAGGCTCTCCATCCTAACCTAAGATACACCTACAGCCTTACTACGTGTTTTGTGGCATCATCCCATTTCAACCTCAACAGAATTCTATGAAGTAGCTCTCATCATCATCATTTTACAGACAGAAAATTTGCCTCGAGGTCACACCATTACTATGGGATTTCCTCCCAGCTCAACTTGGGAATCTGCGCACTTAGCCAGCTTCCTAACCTTGGACATTCTCATGATTTCCATGTTGTCATTCTCATAAGTAACTCAACACTGCACATCCTTATGTAGAACTGAGCCGCCACCACCACCCAAAACAGTGTTTTCCTGAGTGAGCAGGTGTCAACAGAGCACTGTGTTCTCCTGGGAGAAAATACTATGACACTTCCCTGTAAACAGAGTCTGTGGGACTGTTCAAGGTCACTCCCTAGAAAATGATGTCGGAGAAAGACTTAGGGACCCACGTCTGACTATAGTTTCCATTTCCTTCCATTACTCACTTTACATTTAAAGGGACTAACACCAGTCTCTTCCTTGCTTAACCAACCTTCAGGCCAACAGTATCTTCTGCAACTTCCTGTTGAGGCTGGGAACGATGTGGGTTAACTAGAGGTGGGCTGAGTGGACTAAGATGCTTAGTGGGGCCAGTGGCTCAAGTTAATCGCCTGCTCCTAGGCCAGCTCCCCACTTCAGTGAGGCAGAGCTGTGGCCAAGGACAAGGAGAAAATGCAACGCAAGATTGAAGGCTTCTTCTTATTACTTCTCTTTGGCTATGAAGGTATGTGCTATTCTGCCATTGACATTTATTAAATATTTAATAATGTGATTTAATAGAAAGTAGTTGACAAAGAGAAATACAAACTGAATAATAAAAATTATTGAATAACAACATGTAATTAATTAACAGGTTATTAATTTTAAAAATCATTCTTGTGTGGCTGTTTGTCACACTGTCTTGCTACTGGCTTCCTGGTTCCACGAGGAGCTTCCTAAAGTTCAAATGATGTTTATAATCCAACAGAAAGAAAGAAAGGCCTCAACATCTGTATATATAAAACAAGTGTAAATTGGGACAATTAAGGAGAAATCGTGTATTCTTGGAAAGTTTAGGAGGCAAAGTTAGAGCAATTGTAGAATTTAATATTCTAAACCTGGCTATTACTGAGGGTTAAGGATGAAGCTATTAATAGCTCTGCTGGGGCAAGGGTAAATGAGGACTGTCCCTGGCAAATCAGGACAAAGGGTCACCCTAGTTTAAATATGGATTAGCATAAGGCCAAGTACCACTGGAGTCTAATAGAAGTCTAATAAAATAATCCAAAGAGAGTCAATAAAGCCTAAATACTCAATATACTCTGTCACTTTTAAATGTCTAAATGTGGCCCCGGCAGCCATGATATACTTAAATAAGAACAGAATAAAGCTAAATCTCTAACATGTCAAACAAATAAACTTTAAATTCTCTCTCAGTCTTAGAAATAATACTCTTTCATGCCTCTCTCAACTCTCAAGCACCCACCCATCAATTCAGAATTCTTTTTAAAGTTCATACTTTCAAATACTAACAATTGATTGAAGGGCTGGGGATGGAGCCCAGTGGTAGAGCCCTGCCCAGTCTTCAAGAGTCGCTGGGCGACTCCAATCTCCAAAAGTACTATAAAGCAATCATACAAAAGCCCGATTCCATCCTTGTTCTGTGGTAGCTACACATACTTGCAATCCTAGTACTGGGCAAACTAAAGCAGGAAATTCATGAGTTCAATGCCAACCTCAGCTACTTAAGCTTGAGGCCAGCCTGGGCGACCTGAGACTCTGTCTCAAAACAGGGAGGGAGTCTAGGCTATTTAGGAAGATCCTGTCTGGGAGGGAGGGAGGAAGGAAGGGAGGGAGGGAGGGAGGGAGGGAGGGAGGAGTTGGAAGTTGGTTGAATTACTTTTTGTGGACACTGTGTGTTTGAGTGTTAGAGGGAAGAGAAGACCTCACTCCCCTGCAAATGACTTGTCAGTCAGACAAGATGAATACACATAAGGGTCAGAATTCCTGGCTTATCCCAGTCTCCTCTGTTTTCTCCAAACATAAATACACAAATATAACATATATAGTAAAGTACCAATTTTCATGAACTATCAATCTTGTGACTTTCATTATATAGTTGTATGTCTAGTGTTTGGAAAGACTTATGAGAATAAAATCTCAAGCTCATACTGCAAACCCTAAAATATAGGGCTTTTTTTCCCTTTAATTCTTGTTGTTGTTATTTGGGGGCAGGGTCCCATACAGAAGCCCAAGCTAGCCTTCAACTCACTATGTAGTCCAGGCAGGGTGTGACTTCATAGCAATCAGCCTGCTTCTACCTCCTGAGGGCTAAGATTACAGGCATGAGCCACCACACCCAATTTCTAAGATATGTTTTTAAGGAGGGTTCATGCAAACAGTTGTCAGAATTCCATCCTTGCCCTTTGCAATTAAGAGTCAGAAATTTGTGCCTTTTATTATTTATTTATTCATTCATTCATTCATCTATTTGGTTGGGCATGGAGATGGAGCCCGGGGTCCCGGGCATGCTAAACAATGGCTCTATCCCTGAGATATATAGCCCATTTCCCCCATGAACTTTCCCAGGCTTTTTGATATTTTCTGTTTTTGTTGCTTCTCTTTTGTTCCTTGTCCTTTTTTCACACAAAAAAAGCTCTAAGCAAAGTCTTTGATCCAGACACCCCTGTTTCTCAGACAGGATTTCACAGTGCTCACACTTAATTTCTCTTACAGACAAGCTGGCGTTGAGATTCATTTGTTCACTACTTTGTTCTTTCAAGAGCCTCTTGGCTGGTTGGAGAGAAGCTTAGTCTGTGAAGTGCTTACAGCTCATGCACCAAGGGTTCGATCCCCAGAACCCTTGTTAAAAAAAAAAAAAATCCAGGCATGGGAACTAAAAAGATGGCGTAGCAGTTAAGAGCACTTGGAGAGGACGTGGGCTTGGTTCCCAGTGCTTTATAACTCCAGTTCCAGGGGCTCAGACAGCCTCTGCTAACCTCATCTGTCACCAGGCATTATGTATTTGCATGCAGGTAAAACATTAATACACATAAAATGAAAAATAAATAAGTAAAAAAAATATGAACATAATAATACATGCTTCTAATCCCAATGCCTGAGCCTTGCTGGTCTGCCAGCCTAGCTTTCTGGGTGAGCTCCAGGCCACCCTGGAGAGTCCCTGTTTCAAAACATGGGGTGGAAAGTAAAAGATGCCCCCTGAGGAATGATATCCACACTTGTCCTCTGGCCTCCACAGGTATAACACAAACCCATGTCTGAATATCTGTAACAGGGTAAACAGAACTTGGCACTCAGAATCAGAATAGGTCCCCTCCTCTGACAACGCTGCTCATTGGCCCTCCCTGCCTGTCTAAGTTACTTTTCTATTGTCGTGTTAATGCACCATGACTAATGCAAGTTATAGAAGAAACATGTTATTGGGGGCTTACAGATATAGAGGGTGAGTCAATGAAGATCATGGCAAGGACTTGGCTGCAGGCAGGCAGAGTGCTGGAACAGTAGCTGAGAGCTTATATCTTGAGACAGTCACAAAGCTGAGAGATAACTAACTGGGCCCGGTGTGAGCTTTTGAAACCTCAAAGCCTGTCTTCAGTGACATACCTCTTCCAACAAGGCCTCACCTCCTAATCCTTCCCAAACAGTTCCATCAACTGGGAATCGAGTATTCAAATATATAAGCTTGTGGGGCCCATTCTCATTCAAATCAGAACACTGCCCCTTGGGTAGAAGTCTTCTAAATGTGTGTGTGTGTGTGTGTGTGTGTGTGTGTGTCCCAGTGATCAGATTGTCCTGTGTATGTGTGAATCCCAGTGAGGTGATCCTCTTGTGTGTGTGTGTGTGTGTGTGTGTGTGTGTGTGTGTGTGTGTCCCAGTGATTTATCCCCACAGCACTGGTGTTGCAGGCCCAGCTTTTTGCATAGGTACAAGGATCCAAACTGCAGTCCTTATAGCTGCCCAGCAAATGCTCTTAACCAGAAGCCATTTCTTTAGCCCCTAATGCATCTTCAAATTAGACTCGCCCTCTCATGATCAGTAACAAAAGACAAACTGTTGAAAGCAGAAGACGACAGGACTTGGACTGTTCTACAATTTACTAATCCTGGTGCATGGCTCAGGAGCTCCAGATATGTCTACCAAGACCATAGATAGCATCTGTCCAAGTCGAAGGGTTGAGTGGGGAAGGTTGGGAAGTATACATTTTCTTGCCCACCTAACCCAGGCCCTCCACCCTTTACGCCACTTAGAAGAAAATAAGCCAACCCCAAATGGACGGTGTGACCTGGTGGCCTTCTGTGCACTCTACCCAGAGCCAACATGGACATTGTGGGAAACAGGGAAAATACAGGACACAATGACTGCACTTACTCAGTTTATAGTCCAGATGGAGACATAAGCCAACACACATGGGAAAGACATGTTCCATTGGATAGTGGGAACCCAAGCACAAAGGTTATTTGGCTCATTTATTCTTTGCTGTTTCTATTCTTTGGTGACAGCAGCTTCTTATTATTGTGAAATAAGATCAGCAGACAGGCTTCGTTTCTGCACTGGAAGGTTCATTTGGGAACACACATGTGTGATCACATTAAAACAACCACTGATGTCATAGAACTAAGTTGGGGTCCTATTTATCTTGTACTTGTGCATTGTGGATCCTATGCTCTTCATGATTATTAAAATATCCATCCTATTAAATGTGTTAGTCCATTCTTTGGTTATATTTATTGTACAAAGGCAGAGGGAGTTACCTAGCTCCATTTTACAGGTAACTGCCCCTTTTGCAGGTGTAACAGCCATCAGGCATTGCAGATCTTTGTAAAAAGCAACTTTTTAAAAAAGATTTCTTTTTAATTATGTGTATGGGGAGCAGCACGTGCATCTGCAGATGCCTGTGGAGGCCAGAGGCATCGGATCACCTGGAGCTGGAGTTCCAGGCAGCTATGAGCCACCAGACATAGGTGCTAAGAATAGAGTGTGGGTTCCTGCAAAAGCAACCTCTTAACCTCTGAGTCATCTCTCCAGCCAAAAGCAACTTTTTTTGAGATGTGGTTTATGTGCCATTTAATTCACCCACTTAAAGGGTACAACTCAATAGTTTTTAATATACTTAGAGGTTTATGGCACGTGAGATCTAGTTTTAGAACCTTTTCGTCACTACAGATATTAAATAAATACTCACTCCCTGTTCTACCCACCCCCCAGTCCCAGCCCCAGCCCCTGGCATCCACAAATTCCCTTTCTGTCTATAGATTTGCCTCTTCTAGACTTTACACTGAAATGGTATTGCACGACATGTGGTCTTTTGTCTTTTTGCTTGCTGTGTGCCTGTGAGGTTCATCTGTGTTGAAGCATGAAAGGATAACAGATTTACCCATGAATATGCCTGTCGCCCAAAATAGCAACACTTTCACACCAGAAGCAATTTCCTTCTTTCTTCTTCCCAAGAGGGACATTATTGCAGCCTGCTGCTTTTCTCCTGTGTCTTTATTCGTGTTTCTAAAGTAGATTAAGGGGCTGGTTGCTTTTTTTTAATCATTCATAGTTTTATGCCTTTCTCCACTGCTTTGTCTGTTTCTATGGGAGTGAATACGGTATTTGGGTATTTGGTGATACCCAATTAAAAAGAGCAAACTGATTTCTCTGTGTCTCTAATGTACACCTTTTCTCTTGGGCTTGCAAGGTCCAGAGGTGTGCAGAGAAATAAGCATGCCTCGATTTACT